TACTGGGCAAGGCTTTAAATCTGTCTGTGCTGGTTTCCTCTGTGCCCCCATAAAATCCAGCTCACTGAACACTTTATACTTGAATGGAAAGGAAGACATTGCCAGGCTGGAGGTAGGGCAAATAAATATCCAGGACCTCCCGGCTTTTCCTGGCAATGGTTACTGTTGCCCTCTGGAAAGAGGATGAGGTGAAGACAGAAAAAAAAATATTTTTGTTATAGCAACTCGAGAGGCCTCGGGCAGAAATGAGGAATATGTTCACGAAAACAGGAGGAATGGTGATCCTTGTTACAAGGTGGCAGGGAACTTGGCTGCACTGTGTTCATGTCCTGGTGTTCTGGGGAAGGTAGAACTCATAGCGATGACACTGGATATTTAGCTGAGGAGAATTGTAAGCAAAGTGTTGACAGGATGGCTCGGTTCTTCCTGACTGCTGATAGTAAAATGTAAGAAAAAAAATAATTTAAAAAAGAATTGTTGAACTAAAAAATAATCAGAATTTAAAAATTTGGAAAATTCTCAGCCTATCCATGCTTCAAAAAATGAGAACTCGAGTTTAGAAGAGAACATTAACCGTGAGGGCCAAGCCTCCATTTGATAAGGAGATTAGTGTGGATATGAGCCACGGATCTAATCAGCCATCTCAACAGAAGCTAGGACCCATTTTTTCAGCATAAGGAAAGAATGATCCTAAAGATGATTCAGAGATAGTCAGGGCTGCCTCCTTAGTTTCAAAAATTGTGTGGCAGAGTCATGGGCAGAACCACTGCCTCGGCGACGTGGAAGGTGGGACCAGCCCCCAGTGTGCCTGGAGAGCAGAGCATGGAGCCCACAGGGATTATTCTGGAGCCTTAAGATACCAAGGAGTTTACCTTATTAGGTTTTGGACTTGCCTTCACCTCTTCTTATTTTCCATTTCTTCCTTTTGGAATGGGAATATCTATCTTATGCTTGTCTCACTATTATATTTCAGAGAAATACAATTTTTGGTTTCACTGGTTCTAGGAATTTTACCTAGAATGAATTATCCCTTGAGTCTCACCTGTATGTGATTTAGATGATATTTCAATGAGATTTTAGACTTTAAGAGTTTATGCTGGAATGAGTTAAGATTTTGAGGGTTGTTGCAATGGAATTAATATATTTTGCATATGATAAGAATATTAATTTATGGCAGCAGTAGTGGAATATTTTGAACTAAATATTTATGCCACCTCAGAATTCATATGTTAAAAGCCTAACCCTTTTGATATAAAACTTTGACCCATTTGTCTGAGAAATTTTTCAACATATTCCTTAGCGCTATGTAGCCAGGTAGTTCCACCAACTGACAACTTTTCTGATTCTACAAGATTGACAGCAAAGTCAGAGATTCAACTTGGGTACTGGTCCAGCCTCTCATCAGCATTTAATCTTGGAGAGGCATAAAAGGGTTTTCCAAGTCATGTGCTTTCTAGTTAATTAACTTCACTGAAACCTGATTTATTAGACAGGCATTACTGAGAATCAAGTGTTTTCTGCTCAGGTTTCAGCTGCAGGAGAGACACTGAAGCTTCTCAGTTATCTATAATAATAAAAGTATACTATGCAAATCTGACTGAACCTGTGGAACAGCGGAATGACCTTCTGGATGACCTTCTGGACAAAGCCAGGGCTGCAAAGGCCAAGGCAGTTGGGGTTGCGAAGGCCTACCCTTGCACGAATTTCATGCATCAGGCCTCTAGTTAATTATAAAAACTGAAATAATCCCTTTGTGACTTTTTCCCCTGACACTTTCATTTGGAATCTTAGCATAGGCAAAGGGTGAGGAAATTAAATGTGCAGAGTGTTAGGGACTAGGAAGCCAGAAGATCAAGGGTGTTGGCTGGTTCATAGACCCTCTGGAAAATAGTGATTATTTTGCCCACCCTCCAACCCCCCCAAAAAAACAAAACAAAAACACAACAAACTATTGTGGCATTCTTCTGTCCGTCATTGAAGAAATGTTTGTTTAGTACATACTATATGCTTGGTAATGGATTAGGCACTGGAAGGCAGCAATAATGAAGGTGGGTCTGGTCTTTGTCTCCAGGGAGCACTCTTCCTGGTGGGAAGACAGACACTTGACAAGTAATTACAACTACAAAAGTAGCATATGACAGAAGCAGCCAAACTAGACTGGGGTTTAGGTCAAATCTGCCTGAGAAAGTGATTTTGGAGCAGATTTATGTTGACTGAGCAGAAGATAATGGGTGATGTGTAAGGCATGAAACATTCTGGCTACACAAGAAATTTAGAAAGGCAGCCATCAAGTGTCACAGTCCAGAGGAGGGAAAACAAGTAATAAATTCAAAGAATAGCAAAGAACTTCTTATTCTTGATCTTAAAAAGATGTGGCCACTGAGACATAGATGCTCTGCAAATGACCTGCCCTGAAATTCCAAGCTAGGAAGCAGATATCTATATCCCACCACTAAACTTTATTTATTTGTGTGTTTGTTTGTTTATTTATTTATTATTTTTGGCCAACAGCACCATTACATTTTGAAAGTCAAAAAAAGAGTCCAGAATATTACCAAAAGAAAAAAAAAAGGAAAAGCTGAACAATTTCTTATGGATAGCATAATAGGCAAATAAGACTAGTGTTATCTGAGGAGGTATACCAGGAAAGAGAGAGAGGAGAGAAGGGGATGGGAGGAGAGAGAAAATGAGCTAAAACAAAGGTAGTAAAAGAGACCCCAAGGCAAAGTTCCTCCCTTCAATGTAACTTAAAACGTGGGACTTCTTGCAGAAAGATCACTGGACATTTTGTCAAATGCATTGACTGTAAAAGAATACAGTATCACCAGACTCAACAATATATAAGCATCATCTTAGCATATATATTCTTGGGGACTGGGCACATAAGCTGCCCAGGCAGAGAAAGGAAACTCATTTCTGTCAGTATCTCCTGATGTACCACTTTCTGGGTACCACCTAAATAGCAAATATGTTTAGTGTTGCCTTTCCAAGGGCATCTTCCATAACTTTAGCAAAAGATATGTGTACAACCACCATAAGGCCATATATTCAGACCGTCTGTGGGTAAGAATTTTAAAATTGAATGTTGGGGATTAATGAGGACCCTGCTAGGGGCCTGTGTTGATCATAAATTTTTCTTCAGCATTGCAATTACATTAATTCCCAGAGGAACTCAAATATTTAGTATAAAAAATTACCCGTGCTGTTAGAGTAGCATTCAAACTGAAGTATGGCAGTTGCAATTTTTTCCCCCTAGAATTAAATTGTCTGCCTGCTCTGTCATCTGGGTGTTTCTGCATTATGCTTCACTTTCATCATAATCACTTATGCCAGCCTAAAATATCTTTTACTCCACTTGTCAGGAACCTAAATTTCTACATTTACAGATTTATTCCTTAGGAATCTTCAGTTGGAATGTAATTATTTTTCTTTGCAGATGAAGGAGAGTAATATATCAAGACGTTATAAATTGTTAAAACCTTGGTGAGAATCTGTTCATTCTGTGCATTAAGTTATTTGGCAATTGACTGTGTCCATCAGGGTCAGTAGCTGGGTCATATTGCCTTTTTGTTGATTCTGTTCCCTAAGTATCTTTGAAATCTCCTTGAATCTTTCCATCCTCATTGCTCACAAGTTCTTTTTTTCTGCGCAGTGTTCCTCTACCTGGACTCTCAGTCCGGAGTACAGCATTTTCAGACGTCAGCATCATTAATATTTATCTTGGGATGCTTGCTAAAATGTGCAGAATGCCAGCGCCCACCTTCGGAGATTCTGATTCATTGAGTATGGGGCCAGGGTCTGGATATTCACATTATACCAAGATTCCCACATGATTCTGAGGGAGGTGGTTCAAGGATCATATCCTGAAAAATACTTCCCTGGATTACTTGATCTAAAGTAGCATTTTCTCCTACCAACTTTTCCTAAAGTTATTTTTCCATCACCCAGGTTTTCTCCCACCTAGCACTTAGGGGGTCTACTTTCTCCCTTCAGAATATAAGTTCCCTGAAGGCAGTGCCTTGCCCTCCTTATTCGTCCCTGTAGGTCTAGCTCCTGGCCTAGGGTTTGGCTTGTAACAGTACTCAACACGTATTTTAGGGTTGAATAAATTATTAAGCATTGGTTTATCCTGGTCTTCAGTTCAGCCTTGCCACTGTTTTCAGAGTTAATTTTCAGACTGATGTGTTTCTGATCTTATTGTTTTCTCCCTTAAAACTTCCATTGTCTCTGGTCCCCTTACAGGAATGTTGTAAAGTTTTTAACACAGTATTAAAGTACTTTTCCAATCTCATATCAGACTACCTTATAGGCACATTTAGGACTACTATCCCCCATAAACTCTCTTCTTTAGCTATATTATTTTTTTTCACATTTCCATGCTTTCGCTCATGTATTTTTTTTTAAAATATGTTATTGATTTCAGAGAGAGGGGAAGAGGGGGAAAGAGACATAGAAACATCAATAACATCAATGATCAGAGCGAATCATTGACCAGCTGCCTCCTGCATGCCTCCCACTAGGGATCAAGTCTGCAACCTAGGCATGTGCCCTCACTGGGAACTGAACCATGACTCCCTTGTTCATAGGTTGGCAATCAACCATTGAGCCACACTGTCTGGGCTCATTCATATATATATATATTTTTGCCTGAAATGTCCTTCCCCCTTTTGTTGCTTTCCCTAAACCAATGCTTGAATTCCTATTTTTCTAAATTTTAATAAAATGTCACTTTCTCTGTGAAGTCTGCACTGTGCACTGTTTCTTTTTTTTTTTGGGGGGGGAGATTCATTTTTGATGCTCTTACCTTATTCTTTCTATGTTATTATTAATAAATTTTCTATATTATTTTGTGTCTCTCATCTTTGTATCCAAAGGGTTTAGGACAGGTATTTCCCACATACGTATTTAATGAATTATCTTAAAAGATAAATTTATAAAGTGTATTTTTTCCCCAGAATTGTGAATGATGCTAAGAAAGCTCAGATAACTTGAGTTCTCAGATATCAAACCTCATTACTAATCTTGGCTCTAGGTCAATCAGAAACAGAGAGGTATAGGGAAGGCCTTAGAATGCCTCAAAGCTCCTGGCCAAATACATTTCTTTTTCTCTACTTGATCCCGTGCCTAAAATTTTCAGCATTAAACATTTTTTTCTTAATACCCTTAAAGATGTTTCATCATTGAGTGCAATGCATGGAGTTTTGTTTTGTTATTTGACCAGTTGAGGGATAAGAAAGATAAATTTTGAGGGGAGAAAGGAAAATTATCCCTTAGGATTTATTAGGGCACTGAAATGGCAGATTCAACTCAATCCATGTGGGGACTAGGTCTTATAAGAATATCAGCAGACTTCCTAGTGACTTTTATCACATTATATTAGTTATAATCCATTCGACCTTCCACTAGCTATCCACTTACTAATTTGTGTCATTCTTTATCTAGTTGTCTACTAGGAAAAGAGAGGAACCAATAAAAGAAGGTAATAAACTTATGAGAGCTAAGATATACTTAAGAAGTTGAGGAAACAAATACCCCTGGTGATAGGGTATAAAAAGTTTGTGTACCAGAGTTTTACAACTAAGTTCCTACCAAGATAAAACAATATGGCAAATTTGAAATTTCATAGTGAGGTCCCAGGTTGCCAAGGGCATTACTTTACTTATAAGATTTGCATTATTGAGAAAAAAAAACAAAAAGAGAAAAAATTAATGGGCATGGACAACAGTGTGGTGATTGCCAGGAAGATGGGAGGGGTTGAGGGGAGAAAGTATATCAGGGATAAGTAGTGATGGACAGAAACCTGACTTAGGGTGGCGAACAAACAATGCAGTGTGTAGATTATGTGTTTTAGAAATGTGCACCTGAAGCCTATATAATGTTGCTATCCAGTGGCACTACAATAAATTCAATAAAAATGAAAAAGAAAAAATAAGAAAAATAGGTTTTTCTCCCTGGCTGCTTGAAGGTCAGCAGCCATCATGCATGATATAGTAACTATCCAGACCAGGAAATTCATGACCAACTGGCTACTTCAGTGAAACAAATGGTCTTTGACATAGTTCACCCATAGTTCAACAGCACCTCAGACAGAAATTTGGGAAACACTAACCAAAATATATAGGACCATACCAGATGGATTCAGAATCCATTTTGGTGGTGGTAAGACATGGTTTATGAGTCCTTGGATTATACAAAGAAAAATGAACCCAAACCTTGACTTGGAAGACATGGCCTGTCTGAGAAGAAGAAGACCTCAAGAAAACAAAGAAAAGAAACATAAGAACAGAATGAAGTCAGGGGACTGCAAAGACCAATGTTGGTTCTGACAAAAAAGGAGTAAAGATTCTTCAGTGACACTATACGTGGTAATGGTGAGATTTTTCATAAAAAGATTAACAAACTAAGAACTTACAAAAGAAGAAATGGGAACTAATTTCCTTCATGCCTCTTGATCTCATCACTTATTTGTAGAAAACACAACTGTTCAGAGAGTGGGGAATAATAAAAGTTTTATCAGCTAGTTTCTTTGGAGAGAGTTTATACACTGTGTTAATCTCTTTCTCTCCTCCAAGCCTAGTGAAGAGGGCTTCCCCCGACCACCTGAGAGATACTGCAGTCTGTTCCGATCTCAAGGGAACAAAAATGGCTGATGCATGATTCTTGCTTGAGGAAGAAAAGAAAAATGACCCAAGGCAGTAGAATATAGATTACTGTGCACTTCATGGATTTGTTAGGGCAAAGGTTGAGAGCTATCTGAGGGCTGTTTAATTCTTCTGCTTAAGGCCAGGTGTGTCTCCCAGAGTAATGTCCCTGTGGGACAGAAACTCTAGGAAATTAAAGTTTGGGGGAGTTGCCTATTCCATCTAAAGGAAAACGTGCATTTCCCATGTCAAAGTCCACAGTACATGGGAATTTCTCAGGATCCCACAAAGCTGCCCGGAAGAGGGTGAGCCTGAAATGTCTGTGTCCTAGGCACCCTAATTCAGATAGTAATGGCGTTCTTTACAAAAATATGCCTTTTCATAGATATTTAACCTGAGAGGAGAGGAGAGGAGCTTCCCTATGCAAACTGGAGAGAGACTGAATGGGTGGGGATGAGTAAAAGGAAAACTGACTGTGTATCCATTCTTGGACTAGAGGTTTGTGCATGCTGAAGATCACAGGTTATGGGAGGGGTAGAAGATTTACTGCTAAATTAAATGTAGGGCTAAGTTAAATATAAGGGCTTGCTTAGAATTGAGCATCATAATTATAAACTGAATCTATGTTTGTGAGGTAAAGGGGACTGTGGACCTGCACCTAATCCGTGTGGAGGTCAACCGGAAATTACACACTTCAGGGCACGGGAAATATCATCAAATAAAATTTAAAGGGTCAGTGAGAGAGAAAATAAATAAGTGAATAAACAGAAAATTAAATAAATAAATTGTGCTGTGACTCTGTCCAATTTTATAAGAGCAGTGAGATGCCTGTTTGCAGAGTGAGTACTCCTGGCCATCCTGACAGAGATGGGGATTTCACTCTGTAGAGTAAAACCTCATAGCCTCTGATCCAGAGCCAAGCAGAGTTGAATAGCAGAGGTGAGTTGCCATAGTGAAGACAGCAGGATTATGTGAAAGTCTGAATCCTGAGTGGTAAGGGCCTCATCCCCTCTCTCCATTTGCTTCAGAGAATTCTGGCATCAGACCAAGGATCAGAGGAAAGAGCAACATAAAGATGATGGCATTGCAGTGTGATTTTTAATGAAGCCCAGCACTTACCTCTTTCATTTCCCTCTTTATGCACAAAAAACTTCCAGTGAGCTTTTTAATGTCTTACTCAGAAATAGGAACAGAAATCAAAGGATGATCCAAAAAAGTCTCTACTGTGAAAGACAGAAACTAAAGTGAATTAGGATGAAATGGAGGCAGTGCAGGGAGAAAATGGAAGGAAAAAATAAACAATAAACTTAGAAAAATAATGAATGTCCTATTAGATTAAAAAATTAGATGGCCTGATGCTTTCTGTATTTATCGCCCACCTCACACATTCTAAGACAGCACTGACAACATTTCGCATTCATCTATCCCTGGGACAATCCTACTTTAACTTGTGGCATTGCTGAATGGTTACTATCTTCTCCTCAGACTGCCCAGAGACTTAATATTTTGATGAAGGTAAGGTTGTAAAGCTTACAAATAATCATATTTTATAATGGGTCTTCCTTTTAAATTATAGGAAGAAAATATAAAATGTATTTTGTAAGGAGCAGCTATACTTATCTGGGTAGCTAATGGGCTGAGGGAGATGCAGCAAGTGCTGCCAAAACAAGTGAAACTCACAAGAACATTGTAACTATGGTGACCACTACTTTGTTTACCTCTGGCTATAAAATAAAGGCTCAGCTTGCTGTCTGGATCTCTCTCTGTGGCCTCAGCCAGGCACTGGAAGATCCATCTAGACCCAGCTTATTCTCTTTGTCTTGTCTTTTCTACATCTTTCGCCACCCCCCCCTCCCCACCCCAGGCTCACTGAGCCCTTGGCTGAGCTGGCCCGGCACAGTATTTAGTGGTTAGTATCTACATAAAGTTATAATATGATGGTTAATAAGCACCTACCAATGTATCTAGCACTGTTGTAAAAACGATGGCAGTTTAAAAAAATATATAAAACATAGTTCCTGACTTTAGTGAATCCACTTGGGGGACCAAATACACAAATGTGAAACGGAATGTAAGATACTGTTTGATTAAGTATCTCAATGTGGAGTGCAGGCCACGGATGACTTCTGAATCAAGAGACAAATGTCTGTTTCTGCAAAAGAATAATGGCTGTGCCCCTGTTACAAAATGATATTGATTCTAGCTGGCAGGGAGGCCCGCAGATTGGGAGTCAGCCAGCAGTTGAACTCATGCAGGGAACCATATGTCAAAATGAAACCTTTTTGGATAATGCAGTCTGTCCACAGTAAAGCTTTTGTCACAGACAAATATTTTAAAGATAATCCCAGAGTTCAAAAGTCATCTTAACTCTTAATGGATATAAATAAAATAGACAAAAATGAATTTCGAGTGTTCAATAATATCGCTTCACCAATCTGCCATATAAAATACGATTGGAAACTCCCAGTTTTCACAAATAAACTAAGATGATAAATCTTCCTATATAATGGAATTTCTGCTTCTTCTTCTTTTTTTTTTTAATCTAGAAGTATGTGCTTGGTGTGAAGAATGGTCCTTAGGTTAATAAAGAGATCTTGTTTTTCTTCAGGGGCCCTTGCTCAATGTCAGCTAATGCTAGAGAATAAAAATTATAAAGAAGAGGAAGAATTAATTCCACGACATGAAAAATTTATTATTAGAGACTTTAAAAATATACCGGAAAGATGTTGAATAGCTCTAACAACCATTAAGACTTTTGTCTGCCTTCGGGGGAAATGCTGTACACTTTCATTCATGTTAAAGGTTACTGTAGACATTTAACGGATATTGCCTAGAGTTTGGTTTCAACACTCCAAGTGAACAAGACAAGTTGTGCAACTCTTCAGTTTCCTAAATTCTCTAAAGTGAGCTTCACGGTACACTTACTACAAGTTTATGTATCGTTTCACCAATGGTAAATCTGTTGTATTAGATGCTGCTGGCAATGGTTGGGTTGCCTAATGATTCTTCTTACTTACTGTCTTTATAGTCTGTTTCTACCTGAACTAGAAATATGTATAAGAGAAAAAATGTCTAATATCAGGAAATAATTTACAAATAAATGTATCAAAGTCTATTTTTTTCTGCAGATTCCTTGAAATATTTCTTATAGTGGAAGAAAATAAATCTCACGTTTTTCTTATACTATTTTTGTGAAACCCAAATATGAACCATAAGAATCTTGAACTTTTGAAGTCAAATTTCAGGCTAGCCTACAAAGATATTTAAATATGGATTAAATACCATTTACCCTAGGCATGTAGGTCCATTTGGTATATATAATCTGCCTCCAGAGGCTTCTTGGAGACATTATAATAATTCATTTGGAAGT